GGGGAGAAAGGGGGGAGGAGGGGAGGAGGGCCGCCCGGGCCCAAAAAAGAAACCCTTTGCAAAAAAAAAAAAAAAAAAAACACCAACAAGAGATAAGGTGTGAAAATATTAAGTGACTTGATGGTGCACCTCCCTGAGCACCCAGCACTGTGGATGGTGCTTGTTTTCCTTCCCTGCTGGGCCTCTTGTGAGAAATGTCCTATGATCTGTTTTCAGTTCCTCAACACATTTTGCAACCTACTCCAATACATTTGCCCTTTCTGGAACCAACTGTACACGTAGTTAGTAAATCACCCACTGTTAGCACATCTCACATTGTGAAATAGCTGTCCCAAGTTCCACCCTCTTTTTTTTTTAATATAACCTTTAATATAGTATGTATAATATATATAAAACAAAACATAACCTTGCAAATGTCACACACCACCCTTTTTGTTTGTTCTCTACTTGAATTTTTCATGATCCTGATCCCAAGAATTCTCTGAATCCTCTCATTCCCCCAGACCCCAGTATTCTTTGCTCCTTGTTCTCCTTTAATCTCCTTGGTTTTTGTCTTTTTGCTATTAACTTTTTAAATGTTTCTTAATACAGGGGAAATGATTTAACCATCTATGAGATGGAATGTTAGTATCTACTGATTAGCATTGTTAAATAAGTGCTATGTAAATAGTAGCCTGAGTCATTTCTGGGTGACCTGCCTGGGAGACATCCTGAATTTGTGCCTTAGCCTTAGCTGTCAGTGTGCACTGATGCATCCCAGATCCCTACAGGCACATAATATTGGGCTTATCTATTCTTTCTCCTCCCTATAATTAGCATACTGGCATTCCTAGCCTTTCTGGGTTTGGGATCTGTGAACTACTGCCTTCTACCTGTAGCCAGCCACACCTCAAAGACTTCTCTAATGATTTGTGAGTTTATCTGATCTTCCTTATCTCTTCCCCCCTCATTTATTTTACTAATAAACACATGTCCTGTGAGTCTTGAGGCCTTATTGCTTTGTATCGGAGCTCATTGTTGGCGCTGCCCATCTTGCTTTTCTTGAACTCACAGAGATCCGCCTGCCTGTGCTGGGACTAAAGGCGAGGCCACCACCGCCAAGCCCATCTTGCTTTTTTTTTTTTTTAAACACGTCCTTCTCTTTGGTTCTGAGTTCATCTTCCTCACGAGAAATATCGAGTCCTTCTTCGAGAACATTTTTTTGTTTTTTGTGTTGGGGACTGAACCTAGGGCCTCCCATGTGCTAGACAGATGAACTGCCATTGAAATTGATCCTGAGATCCCAATCTTTTTTCTAGTGCTGTGTTTGAGAGGGAGAAGAAAAGGAAAAACAGAAAGACTGGAAGGGGTTGGGGGAATAAGTGATTGAGAGACTACCACAGTGGTTAGTGGAGATTTATTTATTCAGTGTGTGTATTTGTGTGTGACAGAGTCTCAGTATATAGTCCAATATGTCCCCAAACTCATGGCAGCTCTCCTGCCTCAGCCTCTCAAGTGCTGGGCTTACAAACATGAGTTGTCATGCCTGGCCTTTGAATAGTGCTTTTGAACGAAGTGAGGTGGCAGATGTGTGAAGCCATTAGATTAGGTCACATGGATTTATCTTGGATTATATGAGGAAAACTTAAGTTGCAAGGGGCAAAAAACAAAACAAAACAAAAAAAAAACCCAAAAAACAAACAAACAAACAAACAAAAAAACAAAACAAAACAAAAAACTGCAAAGAATGACTGCTGGTCCTGTTAACTGAGGTGGAGATTCCCTGGTGTGGAATGCAATATCAAAGAAGTGGTGTGCAGGCGTCAGGGAGAGGACCAGTGTTGGCCGGAGCATTAACAGTGTCAGGGATGTGATGGATTGAAGATCAGCTCTATGGAGCCAGGATACTGAATGGATCTCTGAGTAGATGTTGATGTGGTGGTACACACTTTTAATCCCAGTGTTTGGGAGGCAGAGCCAGGTGGATCTTGGAGTTGAAGGCTAGCCTGGTTTACGATTCCGGGATAGACAGAGATACTCAGAGAAACTCTGTCTTGAAAAACCAAAACCAACTAAACAAAATCAAACAAACAAAAACCAAAAAAACCTTAGTACAAAGCTTGGTCTGATGATGCACACTTGTAATCAGAGCACTCTGGAGGCAAAGGCAGAAAGATCTTTGCAAATTCTAGGCCAGCCAGGTCTATACAGTGTGGTACTCCACTCCCCTGCCCCTTCCCCCCAAACCTACTTGTTTTGTACATGTAAAGCATAAGTATTAAAAAAAATAGCTGTTTCTTTTTTTTTTCTAGCTTGATAAGCATTGAAATATTTGCTCATGTTTTAAGGAATAAACTTTAATTTGGCATTCAGTTTTAATAATGTATTTTATATGTGTGGGTGTTTTGCCTGTAGAGGCCAGAAGAGGACTTCAGATCCTCTGGGGCTGGAGTTACAGATGGTTGTGAGCTACCATGAGGGTGCTGGAAATCAAACCTTAGGCTCTTAAGTGCTCTTAGTCACTGAGGTCTAGCTCTCCAGCCCTGACACTCATTTTTCAGTTTGTTTATTTTACTGTCTCTTTTATTTTTAACTTGTGGGTGCGTGCACATGTGTGAAGTCTCCTTGTTTTTTTTAACGTATATATGTGTATGCATGTCTTTCTGTGTGTGTGTGTGTGTGTGTGTGTGTATGTGTGTGTGTGTGTGTTATAGGAGGTTGTAAACTTCCTACCCATTGTGGGTGCTGGGAACTGAACCTGGGTCAATGTCAGAACAGCCAGTGCTCTTAGCCACACCCCAGCCCTAAGAGTTCATATTTTGTTTATTTTTAGACAGGGTCTCACCTCATAGCCCTAACTGGCCTGAAACTAGTAGAACCCACAGAGGTCCATCCCAAGTGTTGGGACTGAAGGGATGCTTCACCAACCATGCCTGAGTGCCTGTTTTCAAGCCCATGTTGTCAAGACTCCTCTTTGCTATGCTGTTACTCTGTTTCTGATTTCTGCTTCCTTGAAAGGAATCCTGAAAGTTCATGCCTACTTACCACTCCTCTGATTATTTCTGTGGGATAATTAGCTTCTCTGTGGTTTCCTTTCAGACTTTACATAGATGACTTTTAAGTCTTTATCAGTAGCCCAGACCAAATTGTTTCTAAGTTTCTCCTTTGCACGTGTGTGTGTGTGTGTGTGTGTGTGTGTGTGTGTGTGTGTGTGTGTATTTTTAGACTTAAATTTATTCATTTTAATTTTATGTGTGAGTGTTTTGCCTGCATGTATGTGTATGCTATGTTTAAAAGGGGCCTTTGGAATGCCAATATTTGTTAAGGGTTAATGTCTTCAAATTTGTTGCAATATTTCCGGGTGGTGGTGGCGCATGCCTTTAATCCCAGCACTTGGGAGCAGAGGCAGGAGGATCTCTGTGAGTTCGAGACCAGCCTGGTCTACAAGAGCTAGTTTCAGGACAGCCTCCAATGCCACAGAGAAACCCTGCCTTGAAAAATAAAAACAAACAAAAAGAATTTTGTTGCAATATCTTATACTCAAACAAAAACCTTAAAACTGATTAAAAATCAGAGAAAGACAATATATCATCTATTTTTTCCTCTCTTAAGCATAGTAGTGATATGAAATTCAACTGGCCAGATATTTAGTTCAAAGCTTTTAGTTTCTCTTTTTTCAAGACAGGGTTTCTCTGTGTAGCTTTGGAGCCTGTCCTGGAACTCTGTAGAGTGGGGGAGGGGAGGTGTGTCTTGGATTTGAACTCACAGAGATCCACTTGCCTCTGCCTCCAAGTGCTGGGATTAAAGGTGTGTGCTACCACTAATTACTTAGATTGTTAATTGACACATAATTAATTATGCACACTTATGATATGTAGTGATGCTTTCCTGTGTACTGATCAGTCAGGACAATAGCTTCTCACTAATGGCTCCTTCAGTGTCTTTATTCCCGGCCTTTGTTCTTCTTTCCTAGGCAGCTTGATGGTGGGAGAAGAAAAGATGTCACTAAGGAACCGGCTGTCAAAATCTGGTGAAAATCCTGAGCAAGATGAAGCCCAGAGAAGTGTCTCAGATACACAGAGCAATGGTGAGGTTTTTAATGTTCCTGACGAAAATTAATGAACCAGAAAACAAGTCCGCTCTTTAGGGCAGGGCTTGCAATTCTTTACTTCAAATGTGTACTGGTGGTTTTATATATCTGGTAGTGAGTAAGTTCATAGTAATTAATTTAGTGATGGGCTGAAGAGATGATTCCCAAGTTACGAGTGCTTGTTCTAGGTGAGAACCCACATTCTAATCCCAGCACCCAGTTTGGTGGTTAACTGTAACTCCAATTCTAGGGACTCGGCTGCCTTTGTCTGGTTTCTGAAGGCACTGTACACACAGGGCACTCGACAAACATGTGAAAAAGTCATCCTGTCTTAGTTAGGGTTTCTATTGCTGCGACGAACATCAAGGCCAAAAAGCAAGTTGGGGAGGAAAGGGTTTATTTGACTTACACTTTAGTATTGCTGTTCAGCACTGAAGGAAGTCAGAGCAGGATCCTGGAGATAGGAGCTGATACAGAGGCCATGGAGGGGAGCAGCTTACTGCTGCTTTCTTAGAACCCAGAACCAGCAGCCCAGGGATGGTACCACCCACCATGGGCTGGGCCCTCCCCCATTGATCACTAAATGGAAAAATGCCTTATAGCTGATTCTCATGGAGACATTTCCTCAACTGAGGCTCCTTCCTCTTATGACTCTAGCTTGGGTCAAGTTGACACAAAAAACCACCCAGTACACATCTGTACACATAAAAGTAAATAAAAATTAATTAAACAAACGCCTCTTTGTGTTTTAGATATCACCCATTCATTCAACCAGCCTAGTCTACCAGTAATTATTGAAATGTCCTGCTGGATCTTTGGTTATAGTAGTAGTTGATACATACGTGTTTGCTTTTATGGAGCTTCCGAGTTAAGTGAATGGCAGAGCTCTCCATCATGCAGAGTTGGGGGCAAAATTCACTGAAGAGACACTGGGTTTGTTCCCAGCATAACAACAACCCCCCCAACCCAAAACAAAAAGCAACAACAAAACAAACAAAACCCCCACATAATTGAATTACTATAAATAAGTATAATCTCATAGTTACTTATTCTTAATTCTTTTTTTTTAAGATTTTATTTATTTATTATGTTATACAACATTCTGCTTCCATGTATATCTGCACACAAGAAGAGGGCACCAGATCTCATAACGGATGGTTGTGAGCCACCATGTGGTTGCTGGGAATTGAACTCAGGAACTCTGGAAGAGCAGTCTGTGCTCTTAACCTCTGAGCCATCTCTCCACACCAAAGTTACTTATTCTTAAAATAGATACAATGAACAAAAATTGAATCAGGAGCAGGGCCTGAACTGCTCTTAGGAGGGAGAAATTAGGGTATTTATTATTGCTCAGTGCATGAAGAGTATAATACAGCTTCTGTTAAGGTCAAGGTTTACGATTAAGAATGGTAGATTCAGAAATGCAACCCTCATGATACCATCTATTGCATCAGGATGTTTATTTTTGCAGTGACATTTGTATAGTTTTGCTTTCGTAGGGATTTGACACCGGAGACATGTTTGGTTAACAATTAGGGGAGGAACTTCCAGAGAGCAGGTTGTCTTTGGCATCCTCAGGCTTCTTTTCATAAAGAGGCTCCCTCTTTAGCCTTTCTTATTTTAACTGCAAGCATTGGCAGCCGATCGCACCAGGACTGTGGATAAGACTGTTTGGTTGCTATAATGAAGTTTATCGCAGACTCAGCTACTTGTGACATAGTGTACTTGGTCCAGTTCTAATATTCTGTGAAGAGTGGAGTAAACACAAAGGAGGCTGAGCCAGCACAGAAAGAAGCGTTCTCCTTCCCTCATTGTTCATGGTCTTGGTGATAGTCTGGGTTGCCTCTTTTGCCTGGACTCCCACGAATTAGTTTTCCATTAATTTTTTTTTCTAATGTTAATACTTCTTAGAGATAGAAAAGTATTATTGAAACTTTCTGTCATCATCATCGCATACTACTGTTCTCTTTCTGTCTTATTTTTTAAAAAGCTGTTTTGTTTTGTCAAGAGGGTTTATCTGTGTAGCCTTGCTTCAGTCTCCCAAGTGTGGGGATTAGAGGCATTCGGCACCAAGCCCAGTTTTCCTGCAGGGCTTCCTGCTTGCTCGGCACACTTTCTGTTGAGCCAGAATCACAGCCGTGAGTTGGAACATTCTAGGTTTTAATACAGCTGTTAAGAAATTGTGTTGTTTAGCTTAAGTTAAGAAGTGTGACCCCTCTCCTTGTCTTACTGCAGGTGGTGCTGATTGGAAAATAAAGCGTGTTTCTCCACTTCCACATTTGTGGAATCTGGATGCGTAAACAGTGACCTTTGAATTTCAAGGGGCTTGAAGCAAACTTTCAGTGTGGCTGAACAACCAGGCCAACCTAGGAGCTTGTTGCTTCTCCTCAGATGTGTTGGGTACAAATTTCATTTTAGTAGGATTCTTGGTGGTTCATATAGGTTAAAATTTGAGATACACAGGTTTTAATTTACCCCCCCCCCCCCCCCCCCCCCCCCCCAGGTTTCCTGTAGCCCAAGTTGGGCTGTAACTTGTTATGTAGTTGAAGTTGGCCTGGCAGTGCTGGGATCATGAGCATGTGCCATCATAGTCAGCTTGAGACCTGGCTTTTAGTGTGGCACATATCGTTTGGGTGTGAATGAGAACAACCCTTGAATGAAGAAATGATCTCATGCAGCAGCTTGAGATCTGAGTCAGAGTCTCCTAGGGGAGGCCCCGAGGTGTGAAGTATGAAAGAACCTCTAGATGGTACCCATTGAGTTTTGTCGTCAGATACTATTGCTGTGAAGAATGTTGATGGCTGACTTCACTAAACTTCACCAGTATAATTCCACAAGCACAGTGGCACTGCCTTTAGTCCCAGCACTCAGGAGGCAGAAGCAGGTGGATCTCTGTGAAGCCATACTAAACCCATTGTCTCAAACAACAAAAAAGATAATGATTTTGGGGGTGCTGAGATGGCTTAGCACTTAAGAGCCCTCCCTGCTCCTGTGTAGGAACTGGGCTTAGTTCCCGTCTCCACATAATGGCTTTCGAGCATCCTTACCCCAGTTCTAGGGAATTTGACTCTTCTGACTTCCTCAGGAGCCAGGCACACCACAGTTCACAGACACACATGGACAGTGCACAGATATACATTCACAGTGTACACACACGTGTACAGTACACAGACACACTCATTATACAGACACACACGCCACAGTGCACAGCCACATATATACACAGTGTACAGAGACACACACCACAGTGCACAGACAATCATGCAGTGCACAAACATTCTTGTGCATAGTGCACAGACATATTCAAACAGTGCATAGATATATATATATGCAGGCAAAACATTCATACATATAAATCTAAAAAAAAAAAATACTTGTATAAGGCAGAGGCAGGCAGGCCAGCTAAGGTTACACAGTCAGACTATGTCTCAAAGATAAATACCCAGAGTAGAGAGAGCTGCTTAGAGAGAGGGTGGTACATACCTAAGGGTGGTGTGGGCTTCTCAAGAGTGTCTTATGTCCTTATCTGTGATCTTGGTGGTGCTGAAGTCCTTCTGAGAGTTTTTCAGGCACTTTTCCCTCCTCTTTTCCAGTAAATGAGAGCACGGGGTTTCCTGAGATGCCTTGGGTATGATTACAATCTGAGAAGTAAAACCACTGGTCATAAAGGTTGCTCAAGGAGTTACGACCTGTTTTTACTGTGAATAAGTTTCACATTCTTGTTTTTAAGATTACCAGAAAGTTGCAGATTTGCATCTAGGAAAAGTGCTTATGTTCCTATGTAAGATCTGCTGCTCTTTGAGTAGACTTACTTGGTTTTTGAGACAAGGTTTCTCTGTGGCCCTGGCTGTCCTGGAATTCTGTGCAGAGCTGTGTAGATCTGCCTGCCTCTGTCTTCCAAGCACTGGGATTAAAGTCGAGTGTGACTGTGCTAACTGTGTGAACATTTTTATTGGAACTGTCTGTCTCTTCAAGGGACCTCTTCTCTGATAACAACCTTTACAGAAAATTTTAATTGTGCTGAAAATTTTATTTTTAAGATTTATTTTTGTTGAGAGAGAGACAGGGTGTGTGTATGTGTGTGTAAGGATATGTGTGTGTGTGTGTGTGTGTGTGTGTGTGTGTGTGTGTGTGTGTGTGTGTGTGTGTGTGTGTGTGAGTACAATTGCCAACAGATGTGGAGGCAAGGGAACCTGGAATTGAAGGCTAGTTTCATCTACATAGCAAGTTTGAGGCTAGCCTTGGATAACTGATATCATGTCTCAAGTGTGTGCGTACACACACACACACACACACATACCTCCCTGCTGTCTCAAAATTCCTAAGCTTAATTATCCTATGGACATGGAGATGGCTTTCAAATGACTTAATTTTATCTCTTCATGGCAAGAATGATAAAGCTAGGATAAAGGTAGTCTAAGAAAATTGTCAGTGGGGGTATTTTAGGAAAAAAATGGGGAGGTTAAAAAGTGTTTATGTATATGAGAGCATTTTGCCTGCAAGTGTGTATGTGTACCACGTTTGCCTGGTACCCGCAGAGGTCAAAAGAGGGCATTGGGTCCCCTACAACTGGAGTTATAGATGGTTGTGAGTCACCATGTAGGTGCCAGGACTCAAATCTGGGTCCTCTACCGAGTGCTCTTAGCCATCTCTCCAGCAATAATCAGAATTTTAAAATCAGTCTCGGCTTCAGAGACAAAAACTTGCTACTTAGTGCCTATGATTAGCTAATTCTGTTCTTGCTGCAAGCAGACACATTTTTTTTTTTTAACCAGACAGGGTTTCTCTGTATTGCTTTGGAGGCTGTCCTGGAACTCCCTCTGTAGACCAGGCTGGTCTGGAACTCACAGAGATCCACCTGCCTCTGCCTCCTAAGTGCCACCAACGCCCTGCTGACACATCCCAAGAACTGAAACCTGTAAAATGACTGTCACTGTGCAGCACTCTGGGCCACTGGGAATGTTAGGAGACATGTTTTTTTGTATGCTTGTTTTTCAAGACAGGGTTTCTTGTGGCTTTGGAGTCTGTCCTGGAACTCGTTCTGTAGCCTCCAACTCACAGAGATCCGCCTGCCTCGGCCTCCCAGGTGCTGGGATTAAAGGCGTGCGCTACCACTGCCTGGGTGAAGACAAATGAGGCTCAGTTATCAACTGGCCAAGTGACAATGTGCAAAAAACGTATATTCTTTGAATCAGCTTATGTAATTTGAAAATAAAAATGGTACAAACTCCTGCTTTTCTCACTGCGCTCCCCCCTCCCCCCATAGGGTTTCTCTATTTCTCTGTGTAGCCCTGGCTGTCCTGGAACTGTCTTTGTAGGCCAGGCTGACCTCAAACTCACAAAGATTCACCTGCTTCTGCCTCCTGATTGCTGGGACTAAAGGCGTGCACCACCACCGCCCAACTTCTCACTGGGTTTTAAAGGTTAAATTATTGATGTATGATACATTCGTTACAGGTTATCAATGGAGTAATTGATTGTGTGTATGGAGTAGACCTTGGCAGTGTTTACAGTGATTAGATCAAGGTAATTAGCATATCTGTCATACAGTTCTACTCTATATGTGTTCAAATTGGTAGCCAATTCCAAGGTAAAGATTTAGCAGTTCAGGGGCCACAGTGACTCGGTAGAAAAAGGTAGTGAGAAAGTGAAGGTAAGCCATCATTGCAGGACACATTGTATCAAGAGGAAAAATGTACAAGATGGTTGTCTGCTTTTTTTTTTTTTTTTTTTTTGGTTTTTCGTGGACAGTCTCTTTGTATTCATGGCTGCCCTAGAGCTTTCGCTTGCTCAGGAGGCGGAGGAAGTGGCAGATCTCTGAGTTTGAGGCCCACCCAGTCTACATACCGAGTTCCAGGCCAGTCAGGGATACACAGTGAAACCCCCTCTAACTAAGTAAGTCAATTATTTATATGACAATGCTAATGTCTTTAGTTTTTCTGACCCTTGTCCCTTCGCTTTACCCCTGCCGATTCTCTTTTGGTTTTGTTATCTTGAATGACTTAGAGTTTGTAACCAGGAGCTTTTCCTTTGTTCTTGGAACTCTATCTGTTAGAACTGTTGAAGGCCTTGGATGATTCTGTGACCTTCCAGGGAGGAATTGAACTTATCTGTTGGCAGTCTGGGGACACAGCTTGAGTTGCCTTCAAATAAACACACTTTAAGGTTTTTGAGATAATGAAAGTTTAGGTTGCAAAATCCACTGAAGTGTTGCAAGTTTTCAGGGAAACTGTCCTGTCTTTTAAGTAGAGACAGACATATTTCCTTTCTGCTCCCTTCTGTTTCTGTTCAGGACCCTGAGGATGTGGCTGTATGGGTCCTTAGGTGTAACAGGCCCTAGGCTTTACCATTCTGTAAGGCACCAGACCCTGGGTGCTGTTCTGTGAAAGGACCACATACTGTGTGGCAGCCAGTATGCAACAGTTTCCTAGCACTTGGCAAGAATCCATGTGCCTATCATGTATTCCTTAGGGTTCCAGCCTTCATTTTATCTTTTGCTCTTATGGATTTGGACCAGCTTTGCAATGAGTCTTAAGATTTTTTTTTTGTTTTTTTTTTGTTTTTTTTTGTTTTTTTTTTTTTGAGACAGGGTTTCTCTGTGTAGCTTTGGAGCCTATCCTGCACTTGCTCTGGAGACCAGGCTGGCCTGGAACTCACAGAGATCAGCCTGCCTCTGCCTCCTGAGTGCTGGGATTAAAGGTGTGCGCCACCAACGCCCTGCCAAGATTTTTTTTTTTAATATTTATTATTATGTATACAGTGTTCTGTCTACCTGTTTACCTGCTTGCCGGAAGTGAGCACCCGATCTCATTATAGATGGTTGTGAGTCACTATATGTTTGCTGGGAATTGAACTCAGGACCTCTGAAAGCAGCCAGTGCTCTTAACCTCTGAGCCATCTCTCCAGTCCTTAAGATTTTTTAAAGTTTAGTTGTATTTATGTATGAGTATGTATGAAAATGTGAGTGTGGGTGCCCTGGGAGGCATGAAGAGGGTGTCGTATGCCCTGGAGAAAGGGACAAGCAGTTTCGAGCAGCCTGACTTGGGTTGGGAACTAGCTTGGGTCTTTTGCAAGAGCAGCAAGCACTCTTAACCACAGAGCCTTAAACCCTCCAGCCCCAGCAATAAGCCTTAAAAAACAAGTTTTTTCACCCTTAATACTTTACTCAGTATCTTCATAGTCTCTAGTAAATATCTGTTCTGGAACCTGATTTCTCACATTGCCAGAAGAGGACCTGTAACTGTATTTGTAAGTGGCTTAGATTGCTTGTGCTTCTTTCTAAAGGGCACTGTTGTGTTGTGTACCGGAGTGTATGCATTTATCTTTATATCTATTTGCTTCCGACTCCATAGTTCATTGCCGCTTGAGAGTCAACATAAAGTCTGTTTTAAACACTCAGTTATTTTTATTTCCCTTAGGTCGCATTACCATGAAACAGTTGATAGCCAAGAAGAGGCAGTTGGCTGCAGAGGCAGAGGTAGGTATCTTTTTCTTTTCCCAGAAGCAGAAAAATGGGGCTTAAGGTAAAGTAACAGTTTAAATATTTTTCATTTATTTAGCTAGGTCTTATTTTATTTATTTATTTATTTTTGGTTTTTCAAGGCAGGGATTCTCTGTGTAGCTTTGGAGCCTGTCCTGGAATTAGCTCTTGTAGACCAGGCTGATCTAGAACTCACAGAGTTCCCCCTGCCTCTGCCTCCCAAGTGCTGGGACTAAAGGGGTGTGCTGCCACTGCCCGGCCGATTTTGTTTTATTTTAGACAGGTTCTCTTGTACCTCAGGGCTGGCTGACCTGGAGCTCCTGATCCTTACACTCTGCTCTTTTTTAATTTGTTACTGTTATTTTGTTTGTGCTGGCCACATAGATGGAGGTCAGACAGCAACTTGCCAGTCAGCAGTTCTCTCTGTTTCCACGTGGGTCCCAGGAATTGAACTCAGGTCATCAGGCTTAGCAGCAAGCACCTTTACCCACTGAGCCATCTTTCTGGCCCAGCCCCAGTTTTGTTCCCCTGTCTAATCCAGCCTGGCTTGGAACTGTATCTCCTCCTACCTCTGTCTTCCCAGTGCTGGGATTACAAGTGCATACCACCTTGTCCCACTTGTTAAAGAATGATAAGTTGACATCTTGCTATGGAACAGGAAATAAGATCTGTCACTTTGTCATCTCACATAAGAATGCACATTGCCCTTCTCTCTGGTCCCATCCGTCAGTGTCATCCCCTGGCTTTTCCAGTCGGGTCTTTGCAGCGGTGAACTCTTGTGAACAGCTGACATAGATGTGCATGTGAGTGATTTGTGAAAATGCCTGCATAGTTCTTACTACATCTGCTCCCATTAAATGCTCTGAATCCAGAAGCTAATTACCTGTCAGGGAAGTAGAAATCACTTTAAAAACTAGTGCGGAGCCATTATGAACCATATAGGCTAGGCAGTGCCTTTCAGTTTTCTAAAAATATGTGATTTTAATTTGACTGTGTTAAATTTTCTCCTCTCCCAATGAGATCACTGTCAAAGTTCACTGGCAAAATTGAAGATGTACTGGGGCTCCCCCATGGAGCGCCTTACCGTTCCGGGGGAGCAGAGGGGGGATGAGGTGGGGCTTGGTCGGGGCCGGGGAAGGAGGGAGAGGGAGCAGGGGATTGACATGTGAAGCAGACTTGTTTCTAATTTGAACTAATAAATAAAAAAAAAGGTTAAATAAAAAAAAATTGAAGATGTACTCAGTATCCATGACCCGTTTTAGTTTTCTCATTACCTTTAAAGGCCAAGGGGGTGTTTTCCTTTCCTCTAATTTGTTTGAAACACAGCACCTTCTTGAGCATAGGATGGATGATACTGTCACTGGAAATATTAGTACAAGAACTTGTTTGCTTAAAATTGGCAGATTATTCTCCACACATCATACTCTTTAAGTGTATTTGTGATGTCTATATAACTGTTTATAAAGTGATATTCAAAGAAGTTGCTAATGCATTTTATTTGTTTTATGTTTGTGTGTGGAATGTGTGGGGGTGTCACACCTGAGTGTGGCGGTCAGAGGTCAGAGGTCAGAGGTCAGAGGTGGCATTGGCTCCCTCCTTCCATCATGTGGGTCCCAGGGGTTGAACTCAGGTTCTCAGGTGTGGTAGCAGGAGCCTTTATCTGCTATGCCATCTTGCTGGTCCATACAATGTCTTTTCTAACTAGTACTTCATTGCTCCAATATAAGGGCCGGTTTAAAGACTTATTAGCCCTGGTGGGTGGCACATACAAGCCTGTAATCTCTAATCACAGCAATTGAGAGGCTGAGATAGGAGGATTGCTATGACTTCAAGGCTAGCCTGGGCTACATAACAGATCTTATCTCAAAAAAAAAAAAAGGAGAAAAAAAAAAGCCAGGTGGTGGTGGCACATGCCTTTTAATCCCAGCACTCAGGAGGCAGAGGCAGGTAGATCTCAGTGGTGAGTTCTAGGCCAGCCTGGTCTACAGTGTGAGTTCCAGGACAGCCAGGATTGTTACACTGAGAAACTCTGTCTCAAAAAAACCAAAACCAAAACAAAACAAACCACAACAGAACAAAACCTGGATCTGGAGGGATGGGTCAGTGTTTAAAGCACTTGTTCTTGCAGAGGATCCAAGTTTGGTTCTCAGCACGTCAGCCTGTAACTGCCACTAATTCCTCCAGCTCTAGAGTATCTGGCTCCCTCTTCTGGTCTCCAAGGACACTGGCACACATGTGATGCACATCTGTACATGTCTCTACACACAAGAAATAAAAACAAGTCTTTAGAAAAGATTACCAGGTGCCATATTTCAACTGAGTAGACTTAAGAATGAAGTTGGGGCCTAGAGCGATGATGGCTCACGGGGTGAGTGCACTGGCTGCTCTTCCAGAGGGCTCAGGTTCGATCCCCTGCACCTCTGCAGCAGCTCACAACCTCTGTAACTCCAGTCCCAGGGGATCCAGTGGTCTTGTCTGGTTCTCTGATGGCACTGTGTCCATGTGGTGCACAGAAATACACGCAGGCAAAACATCCATCCACACAAAATAATAAATAAGAGTAAAGTTGGCTTCATTGCTAATTGGCCCCAATACAAGTTGTTATCATAGGCTGGACCATAGTGAGTAACAGGCTAATCTGTTTTCCTTAAGTATTACAAAAGTATGATAAAAGATTCCCTAAGGGCTGGAGAGATGGCTCAGAGGGTAAGAGCACTCACTGTTCTCCCAGAGGTCATGAGTTCAATTCCCAGCAACCACATGGTGGCTCACAACCATTTGTAATGAGATCTGTTGCCTTCTTCTGGCCTGCAGGGACACATGCAGACAAAACACTGCATACATAATAAGTAAATAAATCTTAAAAAAAAAAAGATTCCCTAAGATAGAAAAAAAAAGCTGAAGTGGTAAGAACCTTTTCATACAGGTTCATAAATGCACAAGGAAAAGATGTGGAAGGGAGAGTAGAGGCGAGGTGTGAGGTGAGAAGGGGAGGGCAGGAAGAGCACAGAACCTCAGAAAGTTTCACAGAGCCAAGTTAATTGGGGGGGGGGCACTTGGCTTTGTTATTTTGGGACAAACTCTTGCTGTGTAGCTCATGGTAGGCTTGAACTCAAAATGATCCCCCTGCCTTAGCCTCAGAGTACTGAAATTACCAGTCTGAGCTACCATGCCTGATGTATAGCTTTAAAAATGACTTCTCCATTTATCTGTTTTATTTGTGAGTGAATAAAATGACTAACTTCTAGGACCTGTGAGATCCCTTAATGAATAAAGACTTTGGCCTCCCCAGTTGACAACCTGAATTCAGTCCCTGGAACCCACATGGTGGAAGGCAGGAAATGACTCCCTAAAGTTGTTCTCTGACCCCCCCCCCCCCACACACACACACTTGTACTGTGGTACTTATATGCCCATACACACAGCATTAATAAATAAATAAATTAAATAAATAAATAAAAATATAAAATTCCCTGGTTTGGTCATTTGAAATCAGGAGAAAGTAATGAATAAAGTAAAGAAAAAAGTAGCTGAGGGGAAGGTGGGCATTAACTTAGTCCACACTATTAATCATGTGTATGGGACAAGGTTTCAGGGTTGTTATGAGAGGACAGGCACCTGCTATGAGGGACAGGCACCAGTCTGGACAGTGGTTTGGAGGTAGACAGCCTACACTGTGTCTCAGGTCTTTGATCGCTATTTATGCTCTGCTGGGGAGCAATGGAAGGGGTGTAGTTGGGAAGCTGGGCTAACATTGTATTCTTTCCTTTGTTTCATGCCCTTGTTGGTGTATCTTTTTACCTGTGTGCTTTACCTTTATACATTTGCCAATAAAATAATGCACCATAGTCCTCAAATTGTAGCTCATTTTGCTGGCCACAGTTTCCCCACCATCCTTGCTTTGCATATGCCCTCCCCATTTTGCACTCCTGAGATTTTAATCTATAATTTGATTGATTGAGGTACTGGGAGAAAACCTAGGTCCTCACACATGCTAGGCAAGCTCTCTCTTATTATACAGAGCATCATCCCTGGGCCCACTTATTTGTTTAGAGACCTTGAACTCAACTCTGTAGCTCAGGCAGTCCTCAGCTTGCAGCCTTCTGCCTCCTGTTTATTTGAGATTACAGGTCCCGCAGCAGTGGTTTCCTGTTTTTAGTATGTAGTGTTTTGTTCTAAATGAATCACTATACTCCATTTGATAAACTTGTGATTTGATTTAAATGCCTTTGAACTGGCAGTTGTGGGCTGGGCCGTAGCAGCTTGCTTGGTAGAGTGCCTTCCTAACCCACACGAAGCCCTCCGTTTGATCCCCTGCACCTCTGCCAAAACTGTCCAATTTTCTTTGTTCCTTTGGGCTCCCAGTCTATTTGGCAGTGCAGGTCTGACTACATTGTTTGGAATTCCCTTTCTCATTTTACTTAAATGCATAAACACATGCCACTAGTCTGCCTTAGACTTTGGGGAAAGATGGGTCATTTCTCTTATTTCATCATTTGACAAAACTAGAAAGCTCCTGCCCTTGGCAATGTTCAGCCTTTCAGATAAAGATGAAAGAGCTGTTCACGTAGACCAAAGTGGAAGGTGTGTTGTGTTTGGTGTGGACTAACATGATTTGGCTGCTTTGCCTGCTCGTGCCGCTCTGTTCTCGTGCTGGCTTCATGCACTGTACAAGGTGGATGATAAAATGGCTTAGTCAGTGTCAGGCGGTGTCCATGATAAGGACTTTCCCAATTTTAGAGGTCTTGAAGACCTTTGCTGAGGTGTTCTATTTTATCTTATTATTGTGTGGGGGTTGGGTTTTGTTTTTTGAGACAGGATTTTACCTTGTAGCAGGATCTTACCTGTACCCCAGACTGGCTTTAAACTTGAGACAGTCTTCTTGCCTCAGCCTCCCAAGTGCTGGGACTGCGGGCACGAATCACCTTATCTCACCTATTGGGCCAGTCTATTTTTTGGTTAATGAAACCAAAACCACTAAACAGTCAAAGGATAAT